ATATGGTCGTTGTCGCTGCTTTCACTTAGACTTGCCACTTGGACATGAGTCCTCTTAAATGCCCCCTTCTATATGTTTTCCCCTCTAATGCTCCACACCCACCTTCTTATCTGTTATCATTACATTCATAAAAAAACGCCAACTTCATTGGGTCCAATATACAACGGATTTAGCCCAATTTAAATTACAAAATTTTGATTTCAACTTGAATTGACTCAAGGTTGAGTTGACTTCAAAAAAATTTGAGTCAACTCTAAATTATTTTTTATTTAAATATTTAAATAAATATGAATAATTTTATATATAACATATCTAATCTTATGTGCATTATATATTTTATGCAAATATTTCAACTTACATAACAAGTCAGAACAATATTCAAGCAAGTCGAGGCAAACTCAAAAAAGATTTTAGTTAGCAAGTAGCTCGATCTAATCAATTTTGAGTGAGTTTAAGGAGATTTCAAGTTTTGATTAATTTTTGGTAGCCTTACCACCCTCTCATTCCTCAATCATTTTCCTCTTTCATCTTCCCCTTAGAAGATCAAGGGTTCATGCGGGTTGGATATCCAATGCACACAAATCAAAAGCATTCTTAGGAGCTCATTAGCAATAATAATTTCTCAAATGCCAATTTGGTTTCATTAATATCTTCCCTTTCTTGCTAAGATGAACACCATCTCCTCTTGAGTCATTTATATTCCATGAACACAAAAAATATTTTTATTTTACATATTTTTTCTTTTATTTCAAAGGATGCATTTACAAAATGAATTTAGGAGTACCTTCAATTCATCCATCAAACTCCAATCCACTTATGTTGAATAATTTCTCAATCACCTAGCTACTTCACTCTACAATCATGACCCTAAGTTTACATTTAAAATATCCATCATCTCTACGCACAAGTTAAGCCCCATTTTTTATCTCCATGCATTCTAACATATATTACGTCATCCTAGAAGTAATAACATATTTCCACAACTAGTTGAGATGCACCAAATTGTAGAAATTTAAAAATCCACTCTTTTCTATATTCTCTTGGACAATGCTAACTTGTATGTGTGAACCAAAAATATATTTAAAGATTCAAGGAGGATCTACAATATCTCACTTAAAATATTAACAATCAATTAATTAGCAAAATCAATCGCACCATATAAACAATGTTTATAAACAAAATAAAGGAATGGCAATTGCTAGAATGATTCCTATATGCCCCTATGCATGGACCAAGCATCTAGGCGAGCTGTACAAACCAAGAGAAGTACTCTCCCCAAAGGAGTCAGATAAAAAAAGACACTCACCTTAGAGTAGCATGGCTAGAGAGGTCATTAGTCTCACCCATGAGCAACTCGCTCTGAGCATATTCACCTCAATCAAGAGGAGCTCATCTCAAAAGAATTCAACCAACTAAAACACTCATCTCAAAAGAACATACATCTACCAAACGATTACTAGCCCCATCAGCAGGAGTGCTTAACCATTCCAATTGAGTAGCATTGACTACCCCATCTAACCGACATCTGAACCTAAAAAATTACTCCAGAGGCACTTGTCACTAGGACTTGTCGAGCGTGCCTATGCGCCACGTCGGCTATGGAGATCCACATGTTGCCATTAGATTCATGTCCATGTGTCTGTATCAATCCCATCATGTATTTATTGCATTATTCTTTAGGTATAGCTTCTCCTATAGTTATTCCAATCATATAAATACGTGGATGAAAAACATATTTAGGATTTCATGTCACGTCAGAGAATTCTAGGCGTATCTTAAAGATTTCATGTCACCTTTATTTTTCATTGTAAGTAAAATTATAAGAGCTTTTCCTCTTAATTGCCCATCTCTCATTTCACTTATTATGTCATCTTAGTTAGTCTCAAGAGTAGGGTAAGGGTGTCCCCCATGGACAAATTTGAATCAAACTTGCTAAAAGATGTTGCAAGCGTTGACTTGATGCCACTAAGTGATGATCCGAGAACAATAAGAGATAGAATAATTGTATGAGGAAATGTTGGTGAATATAAAGAATCAAAACTTTAGAACTCACCGTGATTTGATGGTGATGGAGAAGAGAATCACAAGGATGATCTTAGAAGCACTCGAGTGACTCCAAAGGGTGGTTTTGAAGGTGAGCACATAGCATGGATCCTCATACTCGGTGAACCAGAAGATGGGATCTCATGCCAAGGGACTGACCTCAACGCAAACAAGACTAGATACCCCATGACCAAAAAATAATCCTCCCGCCTACGTGGGGCAAGGGAAAGAGGCATCCGGTTGACAAAAGGACTGCCCATTCAACACTTCGTGAACCCACCCTAGACTCAACACCTCCAAAGACTAAACACTCAGAGTGAGAATATAATTTAATCAAAATCGAAGAAAACGTTTAGCAACATAAAGGATTCCAACTTAAAAAGGTAAACTCATTCCATTCAAGGAAATCTTTTTCTTCTTCATTCAAATGTCACTACCACAAATCATCGCCTAAAAATATAGCAAAAAAATATAAATGGCCAAGAAACTAGAACTAAAACATAATGCACAAACTCTTAGTTTGGAGTCAAGCGGCCCCAAAATTGGAAAATCAACGCATTAATAGCTTAGGTCAATTTTAGAGAAACTTGTTTCCCACATGAAATTTAGCCAAACACGAAAACGGTAGACTAACTTAGGCTTAAAATCGGAGCAATCATGATTGCTCCCTATATGTAAGCTCAGGCACCCTGGTAGACAATCTATAGCTAAGACTCCCAGGTAGATGGAAAGTCTGCATTGAGGCACCTAGAAAAAGGATCATAGCGCATTTAAAGGCATTGGGGGTTTCCTAAGGGTTATTACCTACGAGCCATATCAGAGTTGACTTCAAAAAAAAGAACCTACTCCTCTAGTAATTCATCATCCTCAACCCATGAATTTTTAGACAAGAGGAGGTGAAGAGAATGCATGCTCCACTAAATCAGTAACAGAAAAGGTGCATGCTCCACTACAGTTGTCTTTCCTACAAGAGGGCTGAAAATGCGGCTTGGAAGATGAAGTTATTCGACACAGTTTGAGCAAGTAATATCCCATGACAGCGAAGGATGGCCGCCACCTCGAAGAAAAGGTGGAGTCATAGTCCATAGTAAAACCGGTCCAAATAAGAACAAAAGTAGTCCTCTTTCAATGGATTTGGAGACTTGCATTTTAAATGACCCAAACCATGGAATCATCAACAATGCCAAACTCTAACCATAGTCATTCGATATCATGTCCCTTTAACCAAAGAAGGAAAACAAAAGTCAGAATTCAAGAACTCAATGCAAAGAGCAGCATCACTCGACATGTTACTCAAGGTGAAAGTAAGGCAAATCGATAGAGGAAAACAAGTATACAAGGTAGAGAATAAAAGGGTGACAAGAAATGACCTTCAGTCATAATTTATGATAGGAATATGGGAAGACGAATCCTCATGCGACAAAAACATCAAATCACCTATGATGAATTGCAAATTTCTATAGAACTGAAATGAGACTATCATCAACACACATCAATTTTTATCTCTTTAAAAGTCACAAGTCATTAATTTATGGCAAAGAAATATAGCATACTAGTGATATGACAACCCACTCATTATGGAGATCGAACTTTTTGTAAAAGATAGGCATTTTCCATCTCTATCTATAGCTAGTCGCCCAAGGACCAAGCAACGGGCGCATGAGAAAGCGACATGAACTCCCCAGGAATTATCAAATGGAGATCACTGCACAGGTCCAACTAACCTTAAGCTAAGCAACTCTTCACTAAAAATAAAAAATTTTCATTTTTAAGCACAAAAAACTCTCCCCTGTGGCAAACTCATAGAGAAATGAAAAAATAAGTCGTAGAACTCGCATGAATTAAATGTCAAACACTTTTAACTCAAGTGAGTCTAAAGGCTAGTGCTGACAAAAAAAATTTAGCCTAAAAGGATGCCGATCAATAACAAAGATGGACCAACTAAAGTGAAACCAATCCGAGGCTAAATGAGTAAGTCGCGATAATACTCCCTGCGTGGGAGTTGAAGCCCCATATATAGATAGATAGTTTGTGTTTAAAATGTTATCTTCTTTTTACATTAGCCTAGTCGCCCCTTTTTTGAGAATGGACATTTCATGAATTTGGTAATCACTTTCTCTGAATTTTTTTGCTACTCTTTTTTTTACTAGTCGGTAAAAATAATATATTCGTTTGTCTAATTCTCTCATTCTTTTTGCAAATCGCTCTCCAAAGGTATAAGATAAATAGGGAACTAAATGTATGTCTCTATGCGAGGAATTGAATGTCTTTATTGCATTATTCTTTAGGTGTAGCCTCTCCTATAGCTTTTGCAACCCTAAAAAATTAGATTTGAAAGGCATCTCTAGAACTTGATATCACTTTTTTTGTTCACAGTAAGTAATATAATTCTAAAATCTTTTCTACTTTTTCGTCCATCTCTTATCCTAGTTTGTCTAGCGAGTAGGATCAAAATGTCCCCCCACAGACAAACTTGATCCAACAATTCCATTAAACAGTTCAAAGGGGCAAGTTCAACTGTAACTTCCGTTCAAAAAATTTTGAGAGCATTACCTAAAGAAAGCACTAAGCAACATATAAAGTTGCCTGGTAAAAGTTTAGAGCCCCCACAAAAACATGAATTGCAAGCTTCCAAGCCAGCCTGATCAGAACATGTCAGAACGTAATAAAAGGGCTTCCTTACTTCCAACCAAATCCAGCTTAACGTCGAAAATCTTTATTTCTGTTCAAAAGTGTTAAAATCTACAAACCAACAATGTCCAATTAATCCCTAAACCATTATCATGGAACGCTTCTGTATGCACGCTTACCCCCAAACAGCTATATACGCATGACCATAGAAGCACTAAAATTACTACTACAGATTGTCATAATTTAAAAGGAAAAAGGTTTGATAAGAAATGCATAAAGTAATTAGAATATCAGAAAAAAAAAAAAGTATAAGAAGGATTGCTTACAGCTTCTCGCGAAGCACGGGCGTGTCCTTAGGTGTTCCGAGAGAGTTAACAAGGCGCTGGAAGGTGGCGACGGCTGTGTTGATCTGGAAAACACCAGAAGCTACGGCCTGCGTCGTGTCCTGCTTGCCGTTGATGAGTTTCCTCCTACTTGTGGCCAACCGGCCCGATTCCAGATCCTGGAAGCTCATCTCTCCTTAGTCTTCGGCTTAGACAAGCAGGCTTCAAGTAAAGGAATAAAAAAAGAGAAGGTTTTGAACCCTAGGCACGGAAGAGCCTGCCGGATTCGAAGGGAGATCAATCGAATCCCGCAGAATTGAGAGCGAGCTTCTTCTAAATTCTAATGGGCCTTGAACTCGGACGAGAGAGCATTCACGAATCCCCCGTGGCTCGTATATATAATTGTTACTATAACTAATAGATGGTGAGTAATACGTTTACATCATTTTAAATCATTGTTTTCAACTTTTGTTCTTAAATTTGTCTTTATTATTAAAAATATAGCGTGCTCTAAGAGCAATAATTAATATTTTTATTAATAAATATGTTAATTTTATTTTAATTTTGATTATAATGTTATTATTCAAAAAACATTCAATAACATTTTTATATAAAAATATAGGAGGATTCACATATATATCATAATTTTTCATATGTCAAATATATAAATATTTATGTTTACTTCTATAGCATTATACTAGATATATTTACTTATATAGCACTTCAGTATCTAAATTACATCGAAATATATATGAAAAATGTGTTTATCTTAATAAATTAATATTAGTAATATTGTATACATGATTTAGAATTTTGAAAGTTATTTAAGTAAATATAATGAATTGTGTTGCGGGCTAATATTTTCACAGTAGTAGAGTAAGAGAATTTTTTGTCCTAGCAATGTACGGATATTCAACACACAAATAGATAGTTGAGAGAGCAAGGAAACGTCCGAGCTTTTTTATGTGAAAACCCCAAAAAGGGAAAAACCACAGGGCCTTGCCAAGATGAGAAGATTCAATTATACTTGAGTGAGTTACAAAGCTTAACCCCATCCCTTAACTTGGAGAAAGAGAAATTAAAATTGTTTGGAAAGTCAGTCAAGCTTTGTATGCGTATTCAGGAGTTTGTAAAGATCGTGGTCGGATGAAGAGGTCAAAAGTCTTGATAGCAGCGGCTAGAAGAAGGCCCAACAAAGGTCAACGACCAGGCGGAGGTCCATAGTCAGGCAGAGGTTTGACGGTGATCAGCAATTGGGAGGTGGTTCGATGGTTACTGTTGATCGAGCAAAGGTCCAATAGTGTTATGCGGTCGGGTAGAGGTTCGACAATATACTAAGGTTGGACAGTGGTCTAGCAGCATGGTGGAGGTTTAACGGTGGTTGGCGATGATCAGGTGCAGGTGTAATGGTGGTATGTTGCCTAGCAGAGGTTTGACGAGGGTCGAAGGCCAGGTGGTGGTTCGACGGCGATCAGTGGCCTAGTGGAGGATCAACCTGGTAGGCAGTCAGGCAAAAGTTTGGCCACTATAGGAGGCCTTGCAGTGGTTCGACAGTCGGGCAGAGGTCCGGTGGTGGTAGGCGGCCGTGTGGACATCTCAGAACTGTCTGAGGCCAGGCGACAGTCAGGTAGCTGGGCGGAGGTTTGAAGGTGGTAGGTGGCAAGGCAAAGGTCTGGCAGTGGTCAAAGGCTAGGTGGCAGTATGACGATGGTCAGTGATCAGGTAGAAGTCCGAAGGTGGTTGGCGGTAGGCAGTAGCGGACAAAACTTCGTTTAAAGTGGTGCTCGTGTTGAGCTCTAGGATCCTTGAAGTCTCAGAACTCTCTCCAATTTCCAGCTAAAAGTCTCCCTCATGTAGAGAGTGGGCTCTATTTATAGATTCTGAGAGTGAAAAGCTTTATAAATATGGAGGAGATCCAAAGCAAATTCGGAGTGCTCATTTGACGGTTCATATTGATTTATAGGGCATTCATTCAATATTTAATTGCCTTAATAATATCAGAATGAAGTGATCTTGGGCTTATTGGATTTGTCTCGTCAAGCCACTCGATTATAAGCATAATATATTTGGATATCATTTGGTCAACTAACTAATAGTCTAAAACTTCTCAATATACTTTAAACTTCTGATTTGAGCCCATTTGGTCTCAAATTATGTTGATTTTGGTGTCCTTAAGTCTATGTCCAACTTGGCTATAAGTTTGCTTAAATCAGAATTTGGATAGTCCCGAATTTAATTTTGGAAGTTCCCAATTCAAATATGCATCAAATTCACTCCCAGATCAAAGACAGTTTTTAATAATGTATCAACTTGTATGTTAGATATATAAATAATAAAAGATGTAATACACAACCAATATATATATATATACCCCATAATAGCGGAAATTAGAGAAATAATTCTGATATTTGTACACTTGTGAAAATATGTTAATAAATTCATTTAAAAAAAAAAAAGCCTATTTCTTAACAAAATAGAGTAACATGGTCATTCAATCATTGGAGCTCCTCAACCCTTCTCCTTTCCAGCACATTTTTGCTGTATAGTGACAGTTGTGTGTGTTCGATGTACAACAAAATTTCATGGGGACGGTTTCGCCATTCATTCTATGAGAAGGTTAGTGATACTATATATTTGACTATTTATGTTTGAGTATGATATTCATATTATAAACCCTAAACATACAACATATTATTTTATGTGAACTTGTTAGAAACATTTTTGAACCTCACTTTTTTTTAATCATGATTAACACATAATCAAACAATCTTCAATCATAATCAAATAAATTTTGAACAGTAATCGAATAATCTTTGAACAAACTTTGAATGTTGATCGTATCAAAATTTGAATCATATTTGAATTATCTTTGAACTGCTATTGAATCATCTTCGAGCCATGATTCGAGATGGTTTGATCATAATTTGAAGATGGTAAAAAATATGGTTTAATCGTGGTTTAAAAATTATTCAAATGATGATCGAAGATGATTTGATTGGTTCAATGACAGTTCCAATATGGTTCAATTATAATTTAATCATGATTCAACAATGATTTGATCATGATTTGCCCATGATTTGAAGTTGTTTCATTTTAGTTAACTAATTTGTGTTATTTTACCAAGTATACATATATTTGCTCTAATCATATAAAAAGAGAGAGATTATAATGCTCGAGTCACGTATAGAGTTGAGGGTTGTGATGAACAAATTGGTTGGAAAGTTTCAGAGGCTAATAACCACATTATAAAGACTAAACAAACCCCCTTTAGTCAGTTCTTCAAACCTTCTGAATTGCAATTCTTTGTGCTCCTGATTCATCAACTAATATTGATGATGAGAAAGATGAATATTTCATTATGTTTAACACTGGAGGGAAAAACTATACATTTGGCATTTCTGAATTTTCCTTGACCACTGTGTTGTAATTTGGAGAATTCCTATATTAGGAATATAGTCATGACAGGGCTTAAAGATATATGAATAAACTTACAGTGTCTTGTTATATGTATGCCCTTCAGATCAGAAAAACATGAAATCCAATCATTGCATCAGAAAGGATTTGGCAAACTTTACCTCAAATCTTGCAAGCATAACCAGCCTAGATATGTGTGCAAATGAAAGTCTATTTTGCGCTAGATACATATATATATATAACTAACTAATTAAAAAAACAGTTGGCATCACAAATCTATATACATTGATTTGGCAAATAATCGCAAATATTTTTGCAGAGGTAGCAACACAAAGGCCAATTAATCTGTTCTCTTTTCAGCTGCAACTATTCATAAGCCTCATAATCTTCACCATCCCTTTGAAAGAGAATAACAGCGAGGGTCACAATGGAGGCATAAATAGAATTTGGCACCTTCTTCACTGCTTTCCCTACTCCGGGAACTCCCTCGGTTGCTCTCTTTGCAGCCAAAGCCAGCGCTGGGGCGATGATAAGCGCGATTACAAGATTGCGGCCGATTGCAGTAACGGTGTCGGCTGTCAATGCTTGAATAAACTCTACAAACTCCTCGCGATCCAGTAACCCATCAAGATTCCAGTCGAACTTCTGCTTCAAGCAAAGAATAAAAAGAAGACCATCAAGAATTTAGTAGTTGATGTTTGATTGAAGTATTGAGGCTCTTCATGATCTAAGTTGTTAGTACACCCTCAACGCTTCGGAGAATGTTAACAATTATAGATATGGGGATTGAAAATCAATTTTGCAGCTTTGCAAGGATTAACGAGCAAATTGATGGCCGGAGTAATGTTTTACTTTTAACTTATTTTAGGCATTTTTATTTTGGAATTTTATATTTAAATGTTGATCTCAATATGTGCTTCACAAGTCAACTCTACAGAATATGCTGACAATGATGAAAGACAGATGTAATTTCACAAAAAAATCGACTTGTAACTCCCAAATTGAACAAAATTTCACCAAACCAATTGTGTCGAACCTGCAGTTGGTAACATTTATATAGACATGCAATAAATCCAATCCAGAAGACAAATGTATCTTTGCGGGAAATCAATTCATAATGCTCTGAATCTGTCACCTGTTTTGTAAAATGAACCGTCATGATAGACCTCTAACATCAAAACAGCACAGAATGAAACCCCCCCACCCCCCACTATTGCTCAAATTGCAACACGGGTAAATAACTGAACATACAAAAAAGAGGGAGTTCACACATACTACAATAACAACAAGCCTTTATCCCCTATGTGGGGTCGGCTCCATTAATCATTTTTATCTATTGTGTCCTATTCAGAGTCAAATTCTCATTTAAATATGATAAAAAAAGTCATTTTTAATATTTTATAATTAAAACTTTTTACGTCTACCTCTACCTTTCTTAACATAGGCCGAATTTAATACACCTACTCTCCTAACAAGGTCATTAGAAGGTCGACATTGTGACCAAACAATCTAACGCAACTCTCTCTAATCTTATATGCCTCTAGAGCTACTAAAACATTTTTACGTATATACTCGTTTCATATTATATCTATACGTGTAAAGCTACACATCCAACAAACCATTCTCACCTTTGCAACACTTACTTTTATGCTTGTCTTTTAATGACTAACATTCAATGTCATAAAGCATTGCAGGTCTCATTACTATCTTATAAACTTTTCCCTTAAGTTTACTTTTCTATCACACAACAAGCCCTCTGCATTCCTCCACTTCAACCATCCAACTTTAGTACTACTAATAATATCCTTATCTATTTCACCATCGATTTGAACAATAGACCGACCAGAGATATCTATAAATGTGCACTCTATTTAATGAATTGATCACCCAATGCCACAATCCGACCATTAGATTTATTACTACTAAATTACACTCTATGTATTTGATTTTAGATCTACTCAATGAAAATATTTAGACTTTAAAGTTGACCTCAATGAAAATATTTAGACTTTTAGATAAACTCTCAGAGAAATCATAACTATGAGTTGTATGAATCAAATAATTGTGGCATGCAATGATTTTCATACTTTCTCTGTTATCTATGATTTTTTACTTCATCCAACTAGTTCTCGTCATCTAAAGAATATATTGTACTGATAGTCATTTTGTTACAACCTACATGAATTTTGTCTTATCTTATATCTTCTTCTCTTTTGTTATTCCCTGCTATCTCTAAATCATCTCTTAAGTTTTCTCGTATATTGCCATTAGAGATCAAATTGCTTATAGATCTTTTTTAGATCAAACAATAAGATTTTTTGTATGCTCAATCACAACCCTCTCACATGTGTTCATACATACTCATAGCACAAATCTAATCATGATCTTTCTCGGTCATCACATCCTCCAACATGCCCACAACATCTCTAGTTCATAACCATAATTCTAATAATAAATTCCATCCACTAAAACTGCTCAAATCACTCATGAACTCCCCTTTGATTAGGGGTGTCAAACAATGACCTGACTCGAAAAACTTTACACGAACTTGGCGATAAAAAATTTGGGTTCGAGTTGACCCAACTCCCATTCAGGTTGGATTCACATCTAAAACAAAGACCTAATTATTATCTGTGTTAGAACAAGTAGACCTGAATCAACTAAAGCTTGACTTGACTACAATTAGAGTTTGGTTTAACTGGGTTAATTAGGTTAAGAAAATTATATTCAGATTAATTAGGCTGTGTTTATGTAAAAAATTGCATGATCAATATTATAAATGAGTTATATGGGTCAAGTTTGGGTTAGGAGGGTTGGTATTGAATTGTCTTCGAGTTAAATATTTTGACCCGTATAAAAATAGGCCGAGTTTGAATCAAATTTATTAATGATCAGCTTCATGTTAGTCTTAAACTTGGCCCGTCAACCCAAATTGACACTCCTACCTGCAATCTACTAATATACCGTACTGAACGACTCACTGCATCACCCATTCCATCAAAACATTATGTTAATATCCTTTTGCATGCAGATTGCGCGTCCTCTCTACTACACCTCAACCACTTGCAAAAACTACCAAATTCTGCATCCAACAAGTTATTTGCAAACTGATACCCCACCTAAACCATGCATGTGGTTATCGCCTGTCACATGTCAGTACTCCTATTTGTGCTCCATCTTGCGCAACCATCATTGTGAGGCCCCCTTTCAGGCCACCTACATGAACCTTGTATATAACCAGTGGAAGTTGCTACATTTGCATTGTCACTTACATAAATCATCCTTAATCACACAACTAATCATAACTTCTTTATATCATGTATTCCAGATGTTCATAATGCATCATATGCTAATTATCATGATCCTTAGTAACTCCATAGTGAAGAACTTAGTCAACAAAGGGAAGTGGTAGATCGATCTTTAAAGGACATACACACATAACACATAAAAGAAGCGAGTATTTATCAAGGTCGATGTGATGGTTGCAGATTTAGAACACCTCTTCAAAAGATCGTAGAAACTTATTACTTGGCTCATATGAGAAGATTGCTAGTAATAGATGAATCTTATTATCATGAAAATAATTATCTTGATCAACATATTATAATCGGGAAAAATATTATGATTTGCTAAATTGTTAGTTACTTCAACAAGACTAAAAAATTCAATTTCCGCTAAAGGAATCTTACAAACACTAGATAGCTTAAAAAAAAGGAAGTTTGAAAATATAACATGACAGTAGAACTGATGTAGGAATATCTTAACTAAATGCAGCTTTAGGAATATATTATCTAAGTTTGTTATTACTAGCCTCTAGAATGTTCTTTTAGCTTTATAAATATCAAGTATTGTACGAGGAAAGGATCATTGAATGATATCATCCTTTTGTTAAAGCTTTGAAAGATTCTTCTTCTTCTTCCCTGGATTGGGAAAACTCAAATCCTTCTTGCAGGTCGCATCTTCCGACGATCCACTACATCAGTTGGTATCAGAGTCTGGAGCTTGCGAAGATCGATGGACTGCGGAAGAAGGTCGGCTGTCGACGACGATCGAAGCCGCAAAACAAGGTTGGTGGTCGACGACGATCGACGCCAAAGAAGGTGGGCTGTCGACGGATGCTCGAAGCCGGATCGCCTCTACCAAGCTCAATCGAAGGAATCGCTTGATCAGGTAGACAGAAACCTTGATCGGATTCGCGAAAACCTTCGAGCAATAAGGAAGATGAGAATGTCGTCGGCAACCATACCGAGGTATTCTTCTTCTTCGATCTCCTCGTCCCCTTCACGCAGACGCCATCAGTCCCGCCATACTCCCACAGTCATTGATGACTATCCGCCGCTCGAGCTTCCTCTCCGCTGGCGCGACCCCCCTTCGCTTCAATACCATATTCGAGATTCTCCTCCGTTCCAACGTCCTCTGCCAGATTCGCAAATTCCCTATGCTTCGCCTAGCAAACAAACCCGCATTCTTGATCCGCTCAAGCTCGATTCCGCTCCAAGAGACACATCTTCGGGAGTGGGATACTCCCCAAATCCTTCGTCACCAAGTCTTCCATCCGCCAGAACTCTCAAACCCGCATGTTGGCATTCCCAGACCCAACATTCAACTCGATCCCGCCGCTACCACTCCGCCATTGCCGGCCGCACAACCTCCTCTGCCTCCGAAGAGGACCGCGCCTAAATCCAGCCTGACCACTCCCGCGCTCCAACGTGATTTCAGCCTCGACGCCACTCTACTCTCGCTCCCGCTCTGCTGCAACGATTCAACGCTCGACCTCTCCCTACATCCCACCTTTTTTGAAAAGAAGCTAAAGAAGTCGAAGATGGTGTGGATAAGCTTGACCGAGCAGTGGCTCACTTGCCCGATTCAGCACCAACAACCAAAGGATCAAAACAAGCGAAGAACGACGGAAACGTGATCACAACTTTTGGCGATTCTGAAATATCTACAACACTCCATGGAAATAATCTAAAGCGTGAAAAGAATTCTTGTAAGTCTGTAATGACGGTTTCAGATGTCTCAGAATCATCTAACCTTCAACCTGAAGTTTCGGAGGCCAATACAAGGATTACCTCAGCAATAGTGGCTGAGGCTAGCAAACTCCTGATTGAAAGAAGAAACCTTTTTTGTGGTGAAGAACAATTCGCCGAACCATGTCAGCCTCTCACTCACACAAACTCCGATTCAGATAATATTTCAGAGCAAATTTGTGCTGAAGAAAACTTATCTGATGTTTGGCGTCATCACAAGAGCTGAAGAAAACTTCTCTAAAGATGGATACTTTTGTGGAATTCCCGGTCACATTTATTTGAGAAGGAATATTCCGACTTTACTAAATTCAATTTAAATTTGTAGATGAAGATGTTCAAAAGCTTTCATCAGAGATGATTAATTGCCAATCAGATGAGATCACTTTGGGAGATGAATCAAAAAATATAGAGAAAGAGCTACAGGAGGTATCCAAGGTTTCTCAGAAATATGAAATCCCAAAAGGCTTTGAAGAGTGTGGGAAAAGTAATTGGATAGTGCTTCCGAATATGAACTCCAAAAATGCACTTCATATGTTTGTATGAATGTCCATTTGACTACATATGCAAAAATTCAGCAAATAGTGAAGCACTGGTCACCGTACCTGCATCACTTGTAGCTTACACTGAAGACACTAAAGAAAGGGCAAGAGATGA